GGGCTAATCTGTATCTTATTGTGCGAAGGACACTAGAGGCTCCCGTCTTCATCTTCTCATGTTAGTAAGGCAGATAATGGTATTTCACAGGTGAGGGACTGGAGTTCCAGAGTGGTTAAGTAACTGGCCCAGTTAAAGAGCTGGTACTCAAACCTGGAAGTGATTCTGGAGCCGTGCTTCCTAAAAAAGTAAAAGAGTAGAAGAGTAAATCACAAGAGACTTTAAGAATAAGCTCGCAAATATACCAGATGTAATATCCAAAGCCTCAATGTGGGTGCATGTGGGTGTCTATATATGTATGAATCTACACACAATATAGACACACATATATATATTTGTGTAACATTTTGGGAATGAGTGTCACTTTTCATAATTTCCTAGGTTTATGGTTTTAAATTGAAATATAACAGTTATGGAGCAGTGCACACAAATCATAAGTATACAGCTCAGCGAATTTTCAGAAAAACTCAATACATCTAGGTAACCAGCACCCCATTTAAGAGACAGAACAGTCCTAGCTCCTTTTGTGTCCTGTCCTTAAGTTTACTTTCTAGGGGTGCCTGGGTGGCTCAGTCAGTGTTGGACTCTCGGCTTTGGCTCAGGTCATGATCTCACGGTTCATGAGTGCATGCCTCCTGTTGGGCTCTGCGCTGACAGTGTGGAGCCTGCTTGGGATTCTCGCTCTCTTACTCTCTCTCTGTCACTCCCCTGGTGGTGCACTCTCTCTCTCAAAATAAATAAACTTTAAAAAGAGTTTTAAAAAAAGTCTACTTTCCAAGGCAGACTTTAGTATCTAGAATCAAAGTTAGATGTCCATCAGAATCAACAGGGAAACAATGTTCATTTTCTGACTCAAAGACCAGAAACAAAGAGACAGGTTTTAAGGCTCAATAGGTACATTTTAAAAAATTATCTTTATTTAGGTTTCTGATTCAGCACATGTATCAAAGACTAATCAACATAAAGAAGTAAATAAGACATTAATTGGAAGTCTTACAGCTCTCTAAACTCTGACCAAGTATGTCAAGATTGCCACTATCACCAGAACTCCAACCTAGTCAAGTTGTAAACAAGCTATCATGAACAACATACAGTGTGCACGGAGATGCAGAGGCAAAAGACAATGCTAGCACTTGGCTCTCCTCTCTTCCTTGTTGATGTCTTTCTATTTGACAGTCCGCTTTTGTTTTCCATGCTAAGTTCCAAATGAAGTCCAAAGGCTCAGGGTCAACCTGATCAAACACTCTTCCGGAGGAATGCATTCTCAAACTGTTGTGCCTGCAACTTTGTTTTTGCCAGGATGAAGTTCAGATCGAGATGTACAGTACAATCTCGATGACGGTGCAGACCAAGTCAAGAACTAAAGTTGAGCAGTAACTCGAGTTAAGGCATGAATGCACACACACACACATGTGCACACACACAGCACCCACGCGATCATGAATGCAGGATTCCTTCCACTGCCTAATGAGAGACAACCAGAGCTTGGCAGTTAACCGTAACTGCTTAGCATTCTGGAAGATGCTCCTCATTTTATGCTAACAGGTGTGTGTGTATGTTTTTAAAAAATAGAAAAAAGAAAACAAGAAAAAAACAAAAACAAAAAAGAAACTAAAAACCCCTTAATCTCTTACAATGGCTCTTGAGCATGGAACTCATGTAGCAGCGTCAATGGCTGGTTCTTTAATAAATTTGGAAATAAAAGGTTGTTTCACTATGTATTTCTTTGGTAGTTATCACTACAAAGTTTTCAGTGTTGGTTACCTATAAGACAAGTACTAGACAGAAGATCAAGTTACACAGAAATGACTCTTCTGTACTGGTAAGATAAAAATATTGCGCTCTCGAAGCACAGTTACTATGCTTTTTCTTGCCTTATTGAGCATCCTCTATAAGCAAGGCTTCGTGCAGGAAAAGTTCATGTCTACCTAACAAAGGGCGATACATACTCTATTTTCCTACAATTGAACAGTTAACAAAAATTCACATTATCAATTATCTCTGGTCAAATCAGTTAGAAGCCAATTACAAAGGGACAGCAGCACTTGGTGTCAAAGCCACATTCTGGTCACACATTCATTCCATGGTTGTGGTATCTCAGGAGCTCAGAATTTAAAACTCCTTTCAATTAACAAAGGAGCAAGTTAAATTAAACCTTAAATACTTCCACCCTCTGCCAAATTTCTAGAATTCTGTCCAGAATGCCAGCATGCTTGATGAGAGAAAGCAGTTCAGAGCCCAGAGAGGTGTCAGGTATTACAGAAGTTAATTTGGTTTTGTATAGAAGGCATGGTAGTCTGGCAACAGAGTACTTATCCTATTAGCAGCACAGTGGTAGCCAAGGGTCTCTGTCAGCAAGACAGGAAAAGGAAGTTACTGAAGCTACTGCTGTTCCCGCCTGCCTTCATGATGGCTACAGATTTTACAAAGGCCTTCGGGGCATCAGTCCACGGTTACCCTGGGTGAGTGAGCAACAGGAATGGCAGGAACCATATTTAGCCCCAAAGAGAAGAGCCTGAGGTAAGGCAGCTTCCCATGGGTGAGGGGACTCCTGCCTCTACGGGCTTGCGGTCTGAATTTTATGGGTCCCTCATGGCTAAACAATCACTAAGAAATGGCCCTAGCATGTGTACCGCCCATGCGGGACAGGCTCTACGTGGGGTCAAAAACCCTTTAGAAGTACACAAAACAGCATAAATTCAAAATAGTAGTGTTTGTTCTCTCAATTCTGAATGTCTGCAGGGAGAGGCAACAAGATTTATGTTGAAAAGTGCTGTTTGAAGGAGCTGTGGTCTATATTGAAAGGAACTGACTAGTCCAGGGGCACCAGCACTACAGTTCTGCAAAGTCTGAATATCAAGAACCTGTTTCTAAAAGGCATTTGTCAGGAACGGTCTGCTCACGCCAAGTGCTTTCTGTTCACCACATGGCAATGTCTGGACTAGTGTGCTTTCAGGAGGTAACTCAATGGACAGGAAGCAGAGGAAACTCGTTGCTTTATGGACGTTCCGATGGGAGTGCAAGCTGCTATTCAACAGCATTGAATTCTATCATCTCACGCAAGACTCTTGTAAACACAGACCACGCTTTTCCTAGGAGAAAAACCAAGAACTGTACCATGAAGGCAAACCTTGTTTGCCCCTTCTCAGAATTCCTCGGAATGGCAATGTACCGGGAGGGACAGCGGGCTGTTGGTGAGATCCCCGGGTTTGATATGACCTCGTCTGATCGAATTAAAAACCTAAAGCCTCAATAATTAAATGCCGAACTTCTTCCCCATATTTGAGAACTGCACTATGATTATGCATATTACGTACACGTTATAAATAACATTTATATAGACCAACTGGGGAGTGAAGTTCTCCGTTCAGGGGTGGAAGCAGGAAGAGGTGTACAATCCTACTGTTGCTTTTACTCTCAAGTTCTTAAAATGCTAGTCAAACACTATTATCCAACAAGACTTGTTTCATTCTGTAATTCTTAAATATGCATTCGAAGGCAAAAATGGAAGTTTCTATACTGTACACTATTAAATATCTACAATGTCACGGTTCCTTATTTTTAGGAGTGTGTTCAATAAAGAGCTAGCTATTAGAGATGGTTGTCACAAAACAGGGACTCTTAAAAATTACTGATAAATTAATTTTCAGTTCTCTGATTATATCCAACAGATACACATTCTCATCATAAAATATACATTCTCTAGTAAGTTATTTTCATCCACAGCATATATAAATATGCAAACACAAGTGGTAAAAATCACTTTACTACCAAAGTACAAAACAGTAACTGCTGAAAAGCAAAAAATAAAGATGTTGCAAGTATTAAGAAAAGAGTGACTCACAGTGTTCCACTTCAAAGTGAAACCAAACAATTTATTTGTGCTGAATGAATGGAAATAATGTATTCAGAGTATACTTCTTTGTACACTGCACTTGCTTATACTGGGCGATGTAAGCGGTCATCAATGCTAATGTGCTACTTTCTTCTACAACTCTTCTCTTTTCTGCCAAGCAATAAAGTATTCTGTGGCCATTATGCCAAGATATTCCTATAATGTTCATTTCAAATAGTATTTTCTAATATTTTGCACCTTTAAAATATTTGTTCAAACTCTATTTTAGGGGAACACAAAGAATGGAAAGGTAAATAGCTGTTTTTGTTACAATCACATTGCCCTCTGCAGCAGAAATCAAATAGCATGTTCTAACCAGGCATCAAAACCACTGGTTGGTAGGACAACATTTATCGACTCATGTTAGAGGGGCCCGGTCTGGGTAGATTAACACTAAAGATAAGGAAAGAATCACACCTTAATCTACAATAATTATCCATCCCACATGTGGAAAAGGTACAGCCACGTGATCCATCACTTCGGCCTGTTTTACAAGAGAACGGATGTTGACATATACTGAAAAAAACCTATAAAAAGTGTATCTGTAAAAAGCTCTATTAAAGAGTTTATGGTCTTGGGCACTGATCCATCTAACTTTCCATTCTACACCGAAAGCTAGATTTTCAAAGGTCTGAATTGTAGTGCTGAATTACTGGGATGTTTGGTAAACACCATTATAATGGGGGTTGGGGGTGGGATTAACAGCTCAGTAATTTTCTGCAAATTTATGAAAACAAATATAAAAAAGATATCCCTTTTTATTTTACAAACCTAAAAGCCAGGAAAATGAAGCTCTGGGGCCAAGCAAAAATTGCACGCTGCTTCTGAATTACCAAATATTGACTAGCAGATGCTCCAGCCAGGGAATGGACGTACATGTAGATTCAAGTAAAACACTGATGGAAAAAGTCGTCTGTTTAGTGTTGTAGACCCACAACACTGGCTGCGTTTCCGACAAACACTTACAACACAATTAATAGTGAAGCCTAGATAACCTCAGTGCAAATAAGTCAGATCCAAATATGCCAGGGAAGGAAGCCTTTGGCGTCGAGGAGACGGCTCCACTGTACGAGTCCCAACGTGAGATGCAGACCAAGCACATGCATTAAGGCTGGGAGGAGGGGTGCCCCGGATGTTGCGAAGGGGCGGGTTGCGAGGTGGCTGCCGAGGGGGCCGCGGGCTGCATGGGCGGCGGAGGTGGAGGTGGAGGGGGCTGCACTGGGGTCTGTGTGTTGGGAGACGGAGGAGGCGTAGGCCGTTTGAATTTGTCAGGACTGTTGCTTCTCCGTGGTGAAGGCCTCTGTAGACAGGACAGAACAACAGGAGGTCAATCTGGGTCCAGAGAGCTCATTTCTAACACAGCCTGACAAGCAGGAGCTAGTGAAAAAGGGGAGCAACAAAGACCAGAAACTAGGGATTTCCTAGTCTATCCCTACTGGTTTCTGAACTACTGATGAAAACAAGGTGGAGTTTGCATCTACACTCACGAAAAAGCTATACATAATTACTATGAAACTTGCATTGACCAAACAATTGGACTTGGGCCCTTCCAGGAGACAGCCCTAGAATTAAAAAACAGCTGTCTCATTCTCCACTTAAATCTTTTCTGTCCATTGTATGTCCCCAAGTTCCTTCCATCACTCAAAGTAAGTTTTCAACCTCCTATGAGCTACAGCTCAACCAAATGTTTCTGCTTTTACATAAAGCCATCAAACCAATAAAAACAACTTCAGAAATACCTTACTGCTTTTCCAGAATAAAAGTCTTCTTTTAAAGATTCCCTTACTGGACATACCCTCACGTCTCTCCTATTCTCAAACCCATTAGCTACATTTCCAACTGCTCTATTAGTCAACTAAATAACCAGGTCTAAAGAAAAAACTCCCGAGTGAAGTCTGAACCAAATGCACTTAAGGTTCCTTCTAATCCCAGGAGAGAAAATTCTGAGTGAAACTAGAAACAAGGCTAATTTCAGAAAGAATACTGGGGATCAGTGAATTGTGAAGATGCAGACATTGTGGCAACCAGCAATGATTCGTTATGGCAAAGAGCCAGCCAGAATCTAATCGAGGCATTGGCCAGAGTTCAAATAACACTTCACAAAGGGCAATTTTTCACAGAAAGTGAAGCTGAAATTTTTGTCTCCCAGGAAGGATTGTACTTTCAACACCAGAACTTAGTAACAAACTGCTGGAAGTCTCTACAGTTTGAAGGTGAACTGATGGTGGGAGGGAGAAGAAAGGTAAATGTCTAAGGGCATTGGGCCTGGTCTCCTGAGGAGGTCCTGTTGCTACCAGCAGCAGGAGTAAAGTGTGGCTTCCTGCCCTATGGCTACTTACTGTGATGCCATGGGATGCTCCCATGTGCTGCACATGAAGACCCGGGGAATTGTAGTAAGACATTCCGGCTCTAGTCAGTGAAGTTGGTGGCGTGAAGCCAACTGTGTGACTTGCATATGATAGACCTGAAATATGACAATAACAAGTATTATTTCAAACTCAATTATCTGCTGTCTTCAACCATCTAGAAGACCTTAAAATGCAAAAGTTCTCCATCACCAATAAAAATGAACACATATGAGAAGAGTGCTGGGCTCACCGAATGGCCTGCTGGGTCAAAGGGGAAATGATAGTCAAGTCCTGGAACAGAACACAGTGCCCAGAGATAGGTCCATGCATAAACGGTCAAATAATCTTCAACAAAGGGGCCAAGAATTCATAATGGGGAAAGCCTAGCTTCTTCACCAAATGGTACAGAGAAAATTGGATTTCCACATGCAAAAGAATGAAACTAGACCTCTATCAAACACCATACACAAAAATCAACTCAAAATGGACCAAAGATTCAAACATAAAACCTGAAACTATAAAACCCTGAGAGGAAAACACAGAGGAAAAGCTTCATGACATTGGCCTTAGCAATGATTTCTCAGATGTGACACCAAAAGCACAGCCACAAAAGCAGAAAATAGACAAGTGGGACTATATCAAACTCAAAAGCTTCCAGAACGAAACAGTCAACAGAAAGGGAACATATGGAATATGAGAAAATATTTACAAACCATGTATCAGATAAGGGATTAGTATTCAAAATATATAAAGAACTCCTACAGTTCAATATCAAATAAATAATCCAATTAAAAAATGGGCAAAGGATTTGAGTAGACATTTCTCCAAAGACATACAAATAGTCAAAGGCATATGAAAAGATGCTCAACATCATGCAACATAATGTTGCAAGAGCAAAGATGTATAAACAACCTAAATGTCCATCAACAGATAAGTGAATAAAGAAAACATAGTATATACATACAATGGAATATTACCCAGCCTTTAAAATGAAAGAAATTCTTTTCAAGGAGAACACGGATGAACTTGGAGGACATTATGCTAATATAAGCTAGTCACAGAAGGGCAAATACTGCATGATACCAATTATATGAGGGATTTAAGTCAACTCATAGAGGGAGAATACGGTGGTAGTTGCCAAGGGCTAAGAGTAGAAAGAGAATTATTGCTCAACAGGCATAAAGTTTCAATTATACAAGAAGAGTAAGTTCTGGAGATCTACTGTACAACACTGTGCCTATAGTTATAGTTAAATTTTTGTTAAAAGTAGATCTCATGGTAAGTGTTCTTATCCCAATTAAAAAACAAAACAAAACAAAACCAGACCTTGTTAGGAGTCCAACTAAGATGTAGGGAAGTAGTGAAAAGACAGGAGAAGAAATAAAAATCAAGGAGAAAAACAGAGCAAAGGGGTAAAAATCAGATGCAAGAAAACAGGAAGTGTCAAAAGAGACACCAACAATGAGACAAAACCACTGTGGGTGTGTGTGTGTGTGTAGCTGTTGTAAAGGCAAACAAACAAAAAAAAAAAACAAATAAAAAATTACCACGGAGAACTTCGCAACTTGAGGATACTCAACAAAGAAAACAGAAGCCCTATATATGTCACTGCTCCCCCAAAGCAGCTGATATTTAGGAAATAAACAACCCCCAGCCCACTATCATGTTCTACATAGTCTCCATCTAGGACCCCAGAATCATCTCCAAAGTGTTTTTAAAATACTCAAGCCCAGACTTTCCTTAGATAGGTCTGGGTTGGGGAACAAACAACTGCGTTTTTCAAATAATCCAAATGTTCAACCTAAGCAGCTCAGGAACTACTGATCTAGTGGTCTGGGGCATTGCTTATTTATCAGTGAATAAATACAGCTATCTTTACATCTTTGAGTTCCCAGCATCTACCAGGGTTATCCAGCACAGAGTACATCCCATATGAATCAATGGAATGAAAATGGAAACAAAGGGGCAATTCAGGGAGTTTGGGCAGAACAACCTATTTTCAATCACTTTGGTTTTGTTGTTATTTTATTTTAACTTCCATATCGTTAACATACAATGGTATATTAGTTTCAGGTGTACACTATAGTGATTCAACAACTCCACACATCACCCTGTTCTCATCACAACTGCACTCCTTAATCCCCCCATCACCTATTTCACCAATCTCCAACCAACTTCTCTTCTGATAGCCATCAGCTTGTTCTCTATAGTCTGTTTCTTGGTTTTTGTCTCTTTTTTCCTTTGCTCATTTGTTTTGTTTCTTAAATTCCACATATAAGTGAAATCATATGGTATTTGTCTTTCTCTGACTTATTTCACTTAGCATTATACTCTCTTAGAACCATCCATATCATTACAAATGGCAAGATTTCATTCCTTTTTATGGCTGAATAATATTACATTGTATGTATATATACCCATCTTCTTAATCCATTCATCAATCGATGGACACTTGGGATGTTTCCATATCTTGGCTATGGTAAATAAGGCTGCTAGCAACATAGAGGTGCATGTACACCTCTGAATTAGTGTTTTTGTATTTTTTGGGTACTCAGTAGTACAATTAATGGATCATAAGGTAGTTTTACTTTTAACTTTTTGAGGAACTTCCATACTGTTTTCCACAGAAGCTGCACCAGCTGCATTCCCACCAACAGTGAAAGAGGATTCCTTTTTCTCCACATCCCCTCACCTTTTATTTCTGGTGTTGTTGATTTTATCCATTCTGATAGGTTTGATGTGATCTCTTATTGTAGTTTTTGATTTGCAATTGTTGTGCATCTCTAATAATGAGTGATGTTGAGCATCTGTTCACATGTCTGTTGGCCATCTGTATGTCTTCTCTGGAGAAATGTCTGTTCATATCTTCTACCCATTTTAAATTGGATTATTTGTTTTTTGAGTGTTGAGGTTTTTTAATTAAAAAATTTTTAATGTTTGTATTAATTTTTGAGAGAGAGACGGAGCAAGTGGGGGAGGGGCAGAGAGAGAGAGAGAGAGAGAGAGAGAGAGAGAGAGAGAATATGAATATGAAACAGGCTCCAGGCTCTGAGCTGTCAGCACAGAGCCTGACTCAGGGCTCAAACTCACAAGCCATGAGATCATGACTTGAGCAGAAGTCAGATCCTCAACTGAATGAGCCACCCAGGTGCCCCTGGGTGTTCTTTTATAAGTTCTTTATATATTTTGGATATTGACCCTTTATCAGAAAGGTCATTTGCAAATATCTTCTCCCATTCCATAGGCTGCGTTTTAGTTTTGTTGTTTCCCTTGTGGTGCAGAAGATTTTATTCTGAGGTAGTCCCAATAGTTTATTTTTGCTTTCATTTCACTTGCCTCAGGGGATATAGGATATATCTAGAAAGAAGTTGCTCTTGCCAATATCTGAGACCTTATTGCCTACTTTCTCTTCTAGGATTTCTATGGTCTCAGGTCTTACTATTAGGTTTTTAATCCATCTTGAATTTATTTTTGTGTATGGTGTAAGCAAATGGTCCAGTTTCATTCTTTGGCATGCAGCTGTCCAATTTTCCCAACACTGATTTGTTGAAGAGACTTTTTCCCATTGGATATTCTTTCCTGCTTTGTTGAAGATTAACTGACCATATCATTGTGGGTTTACTTCTGGGTTTTCTAATCTTTTTCGTTGATCCATTTGTCTATTTTGGGGCCAGTTTTTGATTTTTTGATTACTATACTTTTTTGATTACTATGGCTTTATAATATAACTTGGAAGTCTGGAACTGTGATGCCTCCAGCTTTGCTTTTTCTTTCTCAGATTTGCTTTGGCTAAAAAATACAGGCACTCCACAAACTTGCATGTTATCCTTGTGCAGGGGGCATGCTAATCTCTGTATCATTCCAGGTTTAGTATATGTGCTGCTGAAATGAGTGCCATTTTCAATCACTTTGAATCTAAGATCAGCCAATGGATGTCAAGCGACATGAACTCCACTTAGCCTCTTTTCTGAATTACACAAAAACAAGAAGCTGTTAAGGATGCTTTTTTTTTTTTTTGGCTTCCATGGCTGAGACATGCAGCCACCAAGCCTACCTTTAGTTGTATTTTTTATATAAAATAAATAAAGGTTATTTTATTTCTTGGTTTGACCATCAATTAGTGCTATTTCACATGTTTCTATTCCATTTGTGGATCTTGAGTTGACATTTAAAAAATGGAGGGCTGGGGGCGCCTGGGTGGCTTAGTTGGTTGAGTGTCCGACTTCGGCTCAGGTCAAGATCTCACGGCTTGTGAATTCGAGCCCCGCATCAGGCTCTGTGCTGACAGCTCAGAGCCTGGTGCCTGCTTTGGATTCTGTGTCTCCCTCTCTCTCTGCCCCTAACCCACTCACATTCTTCTCTCTCTCAAAAACAAACACAAATAAATAAATAAACAAACAAACAAACAATCTTTAAAAAAATGGAGGGCTAGAGTAAAGTATAAGTCTTTGGAAACTAAGTGATCATGTTTATTTTTAACCACAAGGGCTTTGTTCAGCTGGAGGAGGAAAGAAAAGGTTTTATTTAACCCTAATTCTGTTTCTTATGCAAGTGATGAAATTTAAGAGATAAACTATGGATCCTTATCCCAAGACAGAGAAGCTCATAATAATAATAATAATAATAATAATAATAATAATAATAATAATAAATATCTAGCCTATTTTGTAGCATTACAAGGTTATTGGCATGTTAAACGCTAATCAAGAATCTTCAAAGACTCCCTGTTGTCTACCTAAGTTGAAGAAAAAAGAATGTCTTCTCTGGCTATTATAAAGGCCTCTGCACTTGGCTCCAAACTATCTCTTGAGTATCAAAGCCCTTGCCCAGCCCCATATCCAATGAAATCAGAATCCATGGGAGCAGGACCCAGAACAGCCTGTGGTAAGAACCACAGTGACCTTATCACTCTTGATTCTCACCTCTACTGCTCAGTTCACACCAGCCCTTTGCCTGGGATGTCTTCTCTGTACTTTCTCTCATGTCAATCAGGACCTCGATCAGCCTCTGAAGAGGGAAACAGCCCAGACACTCTAGAGCCGACTGTCATATTAGCTCAGACTCTAGTTCTGCCTCTTGGCACCAAGTGACAGTGGACTTCAGATAGATCAACTGT